TACGGGGAAAAGGGGCTTGTGTCCTCTTCAACAGCGACATACAGAGTGCGACGAACTTTCGTCCTACCGCAGTACATGCATACCTACCTACCTACCTACCTACCTACCTACCTACCTACCTACATACATGCATGCATGCATGCATGCATGCATACATGCATACATACATACATAAATACGTACATACATGCACACACGTGTGTGCGCGTGTTCGTGAGAGCGGTTGTATGTTGCGTGCGTATATGTATGTATGTAAGTACATACGCACGCATGTACGTGTGTAAGTAAGTAAGTAAGTAAGTAAGTAAGTAAGTAAGTAAGTAAGTAAGTAAGCAAGTAAGTAAGTAAGTAAGTAAGTAAGTAAGCGTGCAAGTAAGTCAGTAAGCATGCAAGTAAGTAAGTAAGTATGTATGTATGTATGTATGTATGTATGTATGCATGCAAGCGCTCACGAAGAAGTGTTTGCAAAAGTGATGCGGCTGAGCAGAGGACGACCCGCGGAAACGGACTCGCGTGTCTCCCCAAACAGGGAAAGCACCTCCAAAATCCATGCGAAGTGCATCCTACTTAAAGGGTTTAGGGTTTAGGGTTGAGGGTTTAGGGAATGACTTACAGGATCATGGGACTTAGTGAGTAGGGCAGGGTTATAACTAAGGTAACTATACTTATAACCCCAATTAAGGGACTTATAACCTTACTTACTAAGTCCCATGATCCTTTAAGTAGTGCCTAAGTAACCGAAACTTTCGGTGTTTAGGGTCTAAAGCTATAGGGGTTTAGGGTTTAGGGCAAGCCCCTACACCCGAGAGCGGCCCGAAGCCCTAAAACCCTAAACCTGCCCTGATTCGAAAAACCCTTCAAACCCGAAGCTCTTTCAAACCCTCAACCCTATACCCCTCAACCCTAAACCCTCAACCCTAAACCCTAAGCCCAAACCCTAATAACCCAAAAACCCTAAACCCCGAAAGCCCATCGAACCCCGAGGCCCAGGTGTGGACCTCCGCCCTTAAACCCTCAACCCTAAACCTCTAAACCCAAAACCCCCAAACCCCCAAACCCCAACCCTCTAACCCTCCAAACCCTAAACCCTCTAAACCCCTAAACCCTAAACCCCCTCACCCTCTAGCCCTTTAAACCCTAAACCCTAAACCCCCTAAACCCTCAACCCTAAACCCTATAAACCCTATAAACCCTATAAGCCCTATAAAACCTATAACCCTCTAAACCCCAAAACCCAAAACCCCCAAAGGTGTGGACCTCCGCCCTTGAGAAGTTCGCCGTGGCCTCGGCCCGAAGCTCCGAAACTCCGAGGCGACCGGCTTTTTTCGGCTCAGGGCCCCTTATAGGGTTTAGGGTTTAGGGTTTAGGGTTTAGGGTTTAGGGTTTAGGGTTTAGGGGTTAGGGGGCTTAGAGTTTACGAGGTTAGGGTTTAGGGGCTTCGTGTTTACGAGGTTCGGGTTTAAAGGGTTAGGGCTTCAGGGGTTTAGGGTTTGGGGTTTAAGGGTTTTGGGTTTAGGATTTAGAGTTTTAAGGTTCAGGGGTTCAGGGCTTTACACTATGCTTTCGTGTTCCTGATTGTATTGATTGTACTACAAGAACACTTTCCCATACTCTTCCTCAACTAAGGCCCTATTCTAGCTGATGTAGGGGCCTACACAATCACCAATACTATTCTGGGGTTCCNNGGCCCCAAAATCCTATTCTACTTATTGCGGCCCCCGATATTATTTAGGGCCCGGCGATGGCACCATCATCTTTGCAGTCCTTTATGGCGGCCATCGCTTCGTCCGTTGCCTGCAACCGAGAGAGAGGAGAGGCTTCGTCGAGGTTTTGGTTTAGGG